AGATCAGTTCTTAATCTCGGCTATAAAAACATACCCTTTCAACTGCCTCATTAGCCACGTGGAAGCACAAGATCTTAGGTAACAATTTTTGAATTAAGCAAAATATTACTAGAGGTTTTTGATTTTTGGCTCGTAAAGTCAATGTCAAAATCAAAACACCCAATAATACTTTGTCTGTAGCACTTGCACCTTAACGAAAGAGGTTTATCTAGAAAGATAATTCATGACTGAAGTCTAAATAACCTATCTGATGTTAGATTTGGCTACCAAATATATAATTTTAACATAATAATGTTTTTCGTTTTATTTAATAGTTTAGTTGTAGTTAATTTTAAGCTGTAAATATTTATGTGGTTATATATATTTAATAATAGGCAATTATTAATTATAATGTGTCCTAAAGATAGGTTTTTTTGGGACAAGCCCGCCACAACCTCCCAATACCTGTAAGCCACCGGAACACTGAAGTCCAATGTCTCAGGGACATGAATAACTGTCTTGATTCCCGCAACGAAATGAATCAGAAGATATTATAGGAGGAGAAGATAAAAAACGATAGTTTCCACTTCTCTCGGTGAATTACTGCAGGAGACAGAATGAGTTAAGCCCAAAGGCACAAAAAGAGACTGTACAACTGGGAGAAGCCCAGTCGCCACCACGGAAATTTGACTAGACCCAAAAATAAGTTATCAAAACTAATCATACATTTTATGGGATAGGGAAGTGAGCAGACGGATCACTTGATGGTGTGTGATCATCGCTGCCTATGGACACCTGGAATACTAGAGAAGTTGCAAGTGAGAGAGCATATTAAAGATAATAGGTACAATGTTAGGTGCACACCCATCTTCTAACACATACATGTACATGCCAATATGTCTTTTTTAACAATAGATGCATAATAAGAATGCTACCTAAATTCAGGGTAAGATTTGATTTGAAACCTATTAATTATACGTTGATCAACAATAGTTTGTATTGCAGTGGGTAGCAGATCAACCTTCTCTTTTCTGTCATTAGATTTTCAACTCTATCTTTAGGTATAAAGTCGAAAATTCAATGACAAATTGACACAGGAGTACATGCTGGCCACTGTAAAATTATGGGTCTTATGTTTTAAATGAAAAATCAAGTAATGGTTAAGCATGCATGTTGAAAGTCTAGAATACAAGTTACTGTATAGAAACCTTACCCTTCTTATTGGTTTTTTTAGTGATTTGACTCTTAGAAAAGTATCTAAAGCTATAGAGATGACATAAAACAACATATTCATTAAAAACATAAGACCACTACTCATACACACTATTCATTTCATATAAAAGCACCAATTGAATAGCAATTAATTACATAAACTTCATTTAAAAATCTATAAAATTCTAGCAAGCTAATCTCTGCACAATTTCAAAATTTTAAACCCTATCTACAATTAATAACTAGAACATCAACTTAACGATAAAGTCGGTTAACGGAACGTATTTGTCACCTTACATGTTCGGGGGACGAACTTATAGCTATTTTGTTTTGTGGGACAAGCCTGCCACAACCTCCCAAAACCGCTGCAACTCCTGTAAGCCAGGATCTACAGTAGATACAACCATGAAAACACCAGAACACTGAAGTCAGGCGCGTCCCAGGGACATGAGTAACTGTCTTGGTTCCCGCGACGAAGTGAATCAGAAGATATTATAAGAGGAGAATAAGAAAAAAACTATAGTTTCCACTTCCCTCGGTGAATTACTGCAGGAGACAGAATGAATTAAGCCTAAAGGCACAAAGAAGAGACTGTACAACTGGGTGAAGCCCAGTCGCCAAGCACCACGGAAATTTGACTACCTATAGCTATTACCTAACATTAGGTTTATCAAAGATACATACTTATATCAGATACAGATACATGCATCCTTTTCCAACGATGCTTGAGCAGCGATCCCTGCTTGAGTATCATTGTTTTCGAGTATCTTTTTATAATATCTATCGTGAGACATACCGAATTAACTTAAAATCACGTGAATATACTGAGAAAAGCTCTACCAGTTTCGAACCACAGAGGGGTTCTTCCTCATGAGCATCGTGCGCGGTCGCGGAGATAGTGCGCAGCCTACTGGCTAGCGTTAGCGCTCGCATCGGTGTTGCTACTTGCGTTGCGATCCCAAGCTTTTCTCAGTATATTCACGTGAGTAACCCGCGATTTTTAGTTAATTCAGTATGTCTCACGATGTCTCACGATAGTTATTATAAAAAGATACTCAAATTAATGATACTCAGCGATCTCTGCTCAAGTATCGTTGGAAAAGGATGCATGTATCTGTTAAATGTATTTGCATTCCTATCTGTACTTGAGAAGAGATCTTGACTTCAATGTCGTTATATAACACTGATCTCTTCATCTCATCGATATTCCCACCTGCTTATGAAATAGGTCTTTGTCGTGGCATTAGTTTTAAATAACTTAATTCAAATCTACATTTAGTTAGCACCTAGCTTCACTGACGAATAGACTGACAGACTATTATTTATTATGTACTAGCGCCCCACCCCGGGGTCGCACGGGTACAATATGCATGTGTACCTTCATTAAGAATCATTCTATTTATTTAAAAAAACTGCATCAAAATTCGTTGCGTAGTTTTAAAAGATCTAAGCATACATAGGGACAGACAGACGGCGGATAGCGACTTTGTTTTATACTATGTAGTGATTTGTCGACGCCTCAAAAGTACCAAATTATGGCTTAATTGAAATAAATACTTTGATTTTAACCCTGCATCTATACTGCGAATTGTCCTATAACAATACTACTCTCCATACATCACAGAATTAGAACAAAAATGTAAACTGACAAATACTTCCTTTTCACAATACAATTAAAAATGTCTGCTCTTAACTTACATCTAAATTTAACTTCCATATTATTTACACAGGAACAATTATAAGAGAGCACAATTATTAATTATTCATAACTATTATAATAATAATCATAAGCTATATCACAAAATTATTATCATTAAAACACGTCAAAGTTGGTGAAAAGTTGCGCGACAGTCGCCCGACAGTTGGGCAACATGCCGACTAATTTCAATAACCTACCTATATGTCGATTTTCTAACTAGAGATATAATTGATTGACGCATAAAAAAAACAATATAACCGTCCTTTAGATAGGTTCATAATTCACATATATCCAGATTCCAGTACTTTTCACTATTTATGTTATAAGTCCCATGTAATAGGGGGTGAGCCTCCCACGCTCCGTGCTTTAGCAGTCTTTTGACCAACTCTGATATATTTTATTCACATTACAATTAACTATAAAACAATTGACATCTAAGTACTTATATTAACAAAAATATGACTCGTGATCTTCTGACAACTAGAGAACATAAGACGCTGTTCTTATACATACACTAGCTTTTACCCGCGGCTTCGCTCGCGTCACATAAGGATAAAAAGTAGCCTATGTGACATATACCAATACACACAGCGCCATCCATACCAATACTTTTGTTTTCCCTCGGAAATATCAATTTTTCCGGCATAAAAAGTACCCTATTATTGACTTCTAACTTTACGTCTGCAAAAATTCAAAGCAATCGGTTTTGTAGTTACGGCGTGAAAGCGGAACAAACAAACTCACTTTCCCATTTATAATATTAGTAAGGATGGTGGAATTTTGTAATGCCATCTGTAGGGGAAGTACTCTTAATACTTTAGATTTAATGAAAGGAAAACAATTGAATCTTATAATGAAGTTTGTTATAGAGATTTCATTCTTATTGACCCTAATAATCGATGCAATAAATGTAAGGGATTTTTTATAGCATTAGCCGGTAAACGAGCAGACGGATCACCTGATGGCAAGCAATCGGCGTCGCCCGTGGACACTCGAAACACTAAGGCGTTACAAGTGCGTTACCGGCCTTTTGGGAATTGGGAATTTGAGGATTGTAGGGGATTCGGGAGACGGGGACTACGGACGGGGACTAGGGTAATTAGGCCTCCGGTAACCTCACTCACACAACGAAACACAACGCAAGCGTTGTTTCACGTCGATTTTCTGCTCGGTATCACTCCGGTCGAGCCGGTCCATTCGTGTCGAAGCATGGCTCTCCCACTTGCCACTTTTACAGATTTTAGTCGTTTCGATAAACGAGTGCGGCTAGCGAGTTTTTAAAAACTTTGAATGCCATTTGCTTTTCAAAAATAAACGAATGTTTTTTTTTGAGTAAAATATTCTATCTTAAGTATTAAACTGTCAAACACCAAGCGGTCACCGGTGACCGCAACCTATTGTTCTATAATTGTGTCTACAAAACCGGTACTCGACGAGTTAATAGTACTTCCTCTTTAGGTGGCATTACGAAATTCCACCCTGTGTATTTATTAATTACTAATTACGGTTTCAACCGGTCTGTTCAGCTTCTATTGATTACAGCACAAATTTTTACAGCCAGTAGTCTTCTTCGATGAAAACATTATCCAATACAAGAAGAATTATTCAAATCAGACCAGTGCTTCAAATAGCCGTTTCATGTTCTCTAAATTTACAATACGACCTCATTAATACTCGGATTTTACCACTAGCAACACTATTTAGTATGCAGGTAAAAAATAAATATTGATTCAGTACAGAGACAGTAGCTATTTTTATACTAAATTGGCATGATGACAGGGTATGAAAAAATCTAATTAGTCCGTAAGGTAGGTAATGAAAAAATATTAGACACTTATACACTTAAAACAATACTTAGATAAAACGAATCAAAGTTTAGGAGTGGGGGCTAAAACCTCATTTCTACGTATAAAATGTACATAGAAGTGACGTCACGCGACATTACAAATCAATATATCTTCAAAAATATTCGTTTCTGTAAGAAAATAAAAAATACGTATCTAATGATTTAAAATAATCTACCAGACGGACATTAAAATAAAAATTAGGCATCTACCCTATTGTACGCTTTGTAACGAAGCCATGTCTTTCGTAACTCAGTCGGCTCTAGACAACCAATGGTTACTGTCTCTGTACTGAATCTATCTTTGTTTTCTTACATACATACTAAATAATTTCGTTAGCCGTATATATATTAACATCACACCTGCTGTTCTGATTGGCGGGCTCCAATAAACCAACCAATCAGAGAACATGAACGCGTTCGATACTATTACGTCACGAATGCGATAGTTATCCGTGTTTGGCGCTCGATTATATTTTCAATTCTATATTTAAAAATATAGTTATACCTTCATTTATGTAATTGGTACTACAAGAACATGATATGGTTATCAAAACACATCAATATTAACAAAAACATTAAATATTTTTATATATTCTCTTATCTTCGGACAAACCCTGCTAGAAATCCGTTTGCGTCAACAATCTAACATTGATAACCTTTATTATTCAGGCAATAGGGGTTGTTTCCGATTAACTTTTTGTTTAAAAAGAGTAACGATGGAGTACCTTGCCTTTACTTTTGAATATTTTTTAATCAGCGAAGTAATTTGTGCATTATTATATGGAGATAGGGTTGAATTTTCTGTTACTAATTGGTATTTCGCTTTGACTGACAAAGGGATGTTAAATGGCAAAAATCCGAGTAAAAAATAATCTCATAAAATTGTAATTCAATTATTTCTACCTACATATTATTATATTAATTAATTGATAATATTTACAAAAGAAATTTTATTCATAATTATTTCGTTAAAGACATAGAATAGACTGACATATATTTGTTTACCATGCGAGAAAGAGATATAACGATATTGCGACTTTCTTTTCTTCTTCTAACACATTGATTGGCATACAACATATAAAGAAATTATAGTTTGAGCAAGTGTGGTGAGTAATGCTGAAACCTTCTCCGTGTGGGTACCTTTGGTCAGCAATGAGCACTTTTAAATGCTATTAATGTGATGATACGTAGAAAGATTTTTGGGCTATTTGTAGAGACGATATCCGCGGTGTAGCTGGCAGTGATTGCGAAGAGCTGAAGACCAAGCTCAGTGGATATTGAAGAAGGCTATATCCAGTAGCGAAAACGGACTCATGATGATAATTAAACAAAGATGAATAAAGATGAAAAATTATTATAAAGTCGTACAGTCGTTATATCTCTTTCTATCATAATTAAAATAGTATTGACCAGTCCATTCCATCTCTGTTACCCATATACACTATTTTATTGTAAAAATAAAAACAAATAAATTGGAGCTTATTATAAAAATAATGTTTAGTGATTGATAGTCTATTGCATTCATTACATGACAACGAATTAAAAAAGAGGGTAAAAAGATTCAACCTCATTTTATACTGCCATACTCTGACCTTTAATGATCACCTTAACTATTCCTTAGTAACGAGTTTGTTCCGAAAATTGCTAAAGCCCATAAGTATCCCATTAAACGATTCCACAGCAGTTATTTCCTATTACAGAGTAGAGTAGAATTGTAACAGCAATTAAGAATAAAGTATTAATCACGTATTCCGTTCCCAAAATGCAATAGACTACACTACATCACCTTTCTACACATAAAAAGCTCCTAAAAACTAAAAACTATGAGTGTTCGCTTACACTATCTTTCTGTTGGCACTCAAAATCTTTTTTCACACTCAAATTTATACTTTCCGTGTCTTCTGGACTCTTCATTAGATTCAGGCCATTCTCAAAATCTTCTTGAGTCCCATGTTTGAACTGGAGATGTTTCTCCATGCTAGATTTTTGGACACACCGGTAAGGGCAGTGGGGGCATTTTACAGATTTCTGTCGAGGTCTATAAGGTTTACTTTGGTTCTTAATGTCAATTTTATCACCCTCTTTTTCATTTAAGTGCCTCTGTTTATGCTTTGTTAGGTTCGTCTTTTGGACACATCTATAAGAACACATATCACAACTAAAAGGCTTTTGGTCCGTATGCAAATACATATGCTTAACTAAATTAGGTTTCTGCACCGTTCTGTATTCGCAAAATGGGCACGCGAATGGCTTGTATCCTGTATGCGTCCGTTCGTGAACGACTAAGTTATTTTTCTGCGCACATCTATAGTCGCAGTACTGACACCTAAATGGTTTCTCTTTCATATGAACTAGGATATGTTTAGCTACATTATTCTTCTGTCCAGATTTGTAATCGCAGAACGTGCATGAGAACGGCTTTTCTCCGGAATGCGTTCGTTCATGGATCTTTAAAATCGCGGGAGATTGACATCTGTATGCACATTGACTACAACTGAATTTCCCAACTTTTTCTACTAATTGATCGTTATCAGTACACGATTTTGAATGGTGTTTCAACCCCCTTTTTGAGGGAAAAACATCATTACACTTATAACAAATATACTGCCCTTTTATATTCATTGAAATATCTTCAGTAATCTTATTTTGGACGCTGGAATCGTTCTCATTTTTTGCTTCGGAAAAATTCTGACTGTACTCCGAATAGTATATCTTATTTTCGTCCGTTGGTTTCAAATTCTCTTTCGGCTCTTCACATTTTTCTTTCGCGCCATTATTAAGTCCGCCATCTTGGCGTAACTTTTTAAAATCTTCCTGGTAAGGGCTAGCGTTCTCAAACTGCCTATGCACGACTAGATTTTGTGGATTTTCTCTTATGTTTGTGTAATTTTGAACGTAGTTTTGTGGTCTAGAGTAGAGGTCTATGGAATTTAACGCAGGAACGTTTACATGTGTGTTGTATACGTACATTTGGTTGTCTGGGTGGACAGGTTGTTGTGGCTGTGTGTGGTCGGGTGTCAAACCTGGAAAGATAAAACATATTTTTTTTTAATTACGTGAACAGATATAATCGTATTCGTCGCCATTTATGTTTATGTTTATTACTAACGGTAATTCAATTAAACCATTTCAGAAATGCTACCACAAAAATGGATTCACATCATACATGGACATTCTATAAGTGGCCACTGCTGACCAAAGGCCTCTTTTCACACGAAGAAGGTTTGAGCATTAACCACCAACCTTGCTGAATGCGGGTTGGCAATTTCAAACTTATAACTAGAAAATATTAACCCAAGTTTCCTCACAATGTTTTCCTTCACCGTTTATCAGTGGTGTCTAGATAATCTTAATCAAAAATGGATTGATTTAACTCGTCGAGTACCGTCATTATAGACACAATTATAGAACAATAGGTTGCGGTCACCGGTGACCGCTTGGTGTTTGACAGTTTAATTAGAATCTATCATTCAATTATGCTATTCCCTAGAAAATATTAACCGAGTTTCCTCTCGTTGTTCTCCTACACCGTGTAGGGACATATAAGTATGTATGGCAGAGTTAAGGCAAGCAAAAAAGAGCGTGAGGTATACGAGGAACGAACAGTCACTGCGCACTGGTCCAAGTAAACAGTTCTCTTAGGGGTTTACGCAAAATACATCCGGTATCTGAGGCCTTAGTATGAGTTTGTTTTACGTTTTAAGTAATCGTCACGAGTACGCGTTCAGCGCTGTGATTGGTTGCTTCATTGGTGCCGGCCAATCAGAGTACCGAACGCATACTCGTTTCGAATAATGTAAACGTAAATAAAACTCGTACTAAGGCCTCTGAACGCCGTGTTTCACTCAACCCCTAGGCTATCGAACATAAGGAGCGTAAATCAAATTAGGGTTTTAACCCAACACACGAATCCCTAAAACCGTTTATCAGTGGTGTCTAAATAACCTTAATAAATAATAGATTGATTGTTAATAGAAATAAATGCGTTGACTTTGACAGATTCCTGCTGTCCCCTACCAAGGTACAAGCGGTGATGTTACATACGTAATGCCGTCGTGAAAGTTAGCATATATATTGAAATAAAAAACTTGTTATATGACCTTTAATATCACTATATAATGTATATTCGACAAAGGTCAGGGAGCCAAGTTTTATCTAATTGAACAAGATGTCTGTCTATCCCAAGTTGCTAGGGGAGCGATTCGTATTGGATGATGATAATCATCAGCATCATCTATAATCTATATTATCAACAAAAGCTAATCAAAAACATCCCCTATAAGAAGAGATTTTGACCAAATACGGGTGATGACGGAGTATCGAAATTAAAAATCTATTTAGTCCGTCAGATAAGTAGTAAAAAATATTAGACAAGTATTTTTATTTTGTCGTACAAGACAACAATATGTAGATAAAATAAATCAAATTTTTTATATCATCACGCCTTTTATCCCCGAAGAGGTGCACATTACGATACTTAATGCCACTGTACAATGTAACACCCACTTTTCACTATTTATGTTATGAGTCCCATGTGATAGGGAGTGAGCCTTTTGTCATATACGGGGCACAATTCTAGACTCCGTGCTACTACTGCGTTTTTTTTTTAAACCCAGTAATACTTTGCCCGGCCCGAAAATCGATTTCGAAACCCTTGCCCGACAGTCGCACTTTGCAACCACTTGGCCAACGAGGCAGTCGGGAGAAGACATTCGATGATTTTTGCCCCCTTAACTCGTCGAGTACCGGTTTTGTAGACACAATTATAGAACAATAGGTTGCGGTCACCGGTGACCGCTTGGTGTTTGACAGTTTAAAAAAACGGCTGGAGAGATCGGTATGAAATTTGAAACAAGGGTAGATTATGGTCTACAATTCTAAATTAACACATAGAGTAATTTCATTCCACGGAAAGGCAAAGCCGCTAACAGAAGATAGTATGTTATTTTTTATAGCATAAGCCAGTAAACGAGCAGAGGGATCACCCGAAACACCAAAGCGTTACAAGTGCGTTACCGGCCTTTTAGGAATTGGGAATTTGAGGATTGTGGAGGATTCGGGAGACTAGTGAGGGGGTAATTGGGCCTCCGGTAATCTCACTCATACGACAAAACACAACGCAAGCGTTGTATCACCTCGGTTGTCTTTGAGGCCGTGGTATCACTCCGGTCGTGCCGGCCCATTCGTGCATTTTTTTTTAAGGGTGGAATATCATCGCATGACTGCTCCTGCCTACCTGGGTGAGGCGGGAGGGAGTGTCAGACTCTTACTGACTAAAAACCACCCCGTTCCTTCTCCTGCACGTCGAGCAGGAGCCCCGGTATTCCTATCTACGGGACATTCGTGTATATTTGTCTTTTCCTTTTGTCATAGGTCTGAACGCGATGACACATGGGCAATTCCAAAAACAACCGGATAACATGAGAACAAGAGTCGGGTAACCTTCCGATAACCTCTTTTTGATGTTTATAAATAATTTAAGATAATGTTAGTTTTATTTTATTAAAATAATTGACCCATATTCTTTTATGAGAGACGGGCTGCTGTCTGACGTGGTCCGGGTTTGATTCTCATACGGGACGACCCTTGTTTGACACATTAAAGTAGGTATATCTTTACACCATTGCCTATAAGTGGCCACTGCTGACCAAAGGCTCTTCTGACACGGAGAAGGTTTGAGCATTAATCACCACGCTTGCTCAATGCGGGTTGGCGATTTCAATCTTATAATTATAAATTACTAGCGACCCGCCCCGGCTTCAGACGGGTTCAATATTCATGTATTATACATATAAACCTTTCTTAAGAATCACTCTATCTATCAATAAAAACCGCATCAAAGTCCGTTGCGTAGTTTTAAAGATCTAAGCATACATAGTGTTAGACGACGAAAATCAACTAAATGAACGTCACTAGTTTAATCTATGTTATCGACAGCACTAGCTGTCATATTGACGATGTCATCTGTCAAATGGGACAGATTAGAAAAGTTTCCCGCGCAAAGTGGAGTGACGCGCGAATCTGGTGGGAAGTTTGAGGAGCATTGCGCTGTGTTCTTAAAAGAATCCGTTTATAATAAACTTTTCGATATTTAAGTATTGAGTTTCACTTAAAAGTTTCAGAAGTGGGATAAAACTTACGTGCAGTGATAAGTGATTACATTAGTAAAGTGCAGCAGCAGGATAATTACGAAAGAGGACGTATTTTAAAATTTTGCTTTTTGGGAAAGACCGCCATTTTTGTGCTTGACTTTTGAACAATGTAAAACTTGCTTAACAATTATTCTCAAAAACTTTAATCGCTAACAAAGTTTTGTGAATGTGTGTTTTGTTGTGCTTAAAAGGACTACAACTTTTTCTACTCAATGCATGCATGGCTCAAGTGCTTGAAACTGGTGATTGGTGAGCTTTTTCCATGTTGAACTTTTATCTATCCTTGAGCTGAAATTGGACTCAATATAATGGTTATTTTGTAACACTAAAAGACTATTAGAACATTAACTAATATCTAAAGCATCTTGTACATGATTGGTGGTGCTGATTGTGATCTTTGCTACTTTGTATCTAAAATATAATTATTTTCATATTGTTAAGTGCAAAAGACGGTTACTTAACCACATCTATTTATTAACAACATTCTACCAAATGCTACAGGACACTAATTTTCTAATACTGTTATATTGCTGAAGAATATTGATTAACAAGTGTTAAGACGGTCAGCGGGTAACCTTAGACACAACTGATATTCACTAAGTTTTAATTAATATTTAATAACTATAAGTGTTAGTGTATATTTTTGCTTTAATTGTTGTTAACATGGGTCGCCATAAGAGATCTAGGAGATCCAGTAGCACATCATCCTCAAATTCAAGTTCACATAGCATTGTGAACAAGAAGAAAAGGTACAGGAGAGAATTAAGAAAAAGCAATCAACGTATTGAAGCGCTGGAAGCTCTTTAAGAACCTGCGGAATAATCAAGATAATCATGGAGACAGCTCCTTGGAAAATTTAGGATCATTACGGACAATTGTACGGTATGTTGGCAGAAATGATTTCATTCCTGAGTTTGATCCTCAATCATCCACTGTGCCAATTGAACACTGGCTGAGGAATTTAGAAAGCATTTCTAAAATTCATGGCTGGGATGAACCCACCTTAATATGCAATTGTACATCTAAACTGCGTGGCTATGCCAAAAGTTGGTATGAGAGACAGCCAACATATGAGTTAAGTTGGAGTCAATGGAAAGAAAAACTGATTACATCTTTTCCTTTTACAAAAAATAAGCTTTGCCAAATTAGAGAGCTTGTTAATCGAGTAAAGTTACCCAATGAGAATGTTATTGAATTTTATTACAATAAATTGGGTATAGGCATATCATGTCAACTTACTGACGATGTAATTTGTCAAGCTATTGTAGGCACTCTGGGTAATAAATTATTAGAAGTTGGAGCGTTATCAGCTGGTTGTCATGATACAACTTCATTACTAAAGTATTTAGCAAGTTTCATGAACACAAATGACAATAATGGAAATAAACCTGAGGAAGTTAACAAGCCTAACATAAATAAATCCATTAAATGTTTCAAATGTAATCAAGATGGCCATAAAGCATTTGCTTGTTCTCATTTCAAAAATCAAAAGGACTATTCAAATAAATGTTCTTTCTGTAACAAGTCAGGTCACACAGAGTCAGTATGTTTTAAAAAGAAAAACCTAGATAAGTTTTGTTCTTATTGCAAAATAAAAGGTCATGTGTTGGATGAGTGTCGAAAGCACTCAGCAGCCACACAACATAAAAGTATTAGAAAAGTTCAGCAAGTTAATTTGCATGATTAATAACATCCTAAAAAAAAACAATTAATTAATGGATACCAAATTGTTTCATTGATTTTGGTAGTTCCTGTGATATAAATGAAACAAGGAAGTTGTAATAAATTTAAGTTAAATATGGATACTGTTAAGACAGCTGTAATCAAAGGAGATAGTGATGCAGTGATCTTACCAAAGGGTAACTACAGTA